TTTCAACTTACACAGAATCATCGATTCCAGCTCCATAGAGTAGACTCCCTGCATCAGCTTCGATGTCTTCAGCCTCTTTTTTCTCAAGTCTTTGTTTTATCCTGGCTTCTTTGCTCTGCTGCTCAGCTTGGATCTCGGCCCTGTCAATGCGATTGCTGTCCTCCAATCTTGCGTATTCATGAGCGCTTGGGCCGACGCTGACGTTCATATCCGACAGAAGGGTGAGAAAAGCACCACCACCTTCGTTGAAAGTGTTTGCTGCCAGATAATTTTTTCGGTGCAATTCTCCAAATTAGCTGGTTCAAACTTTCGTTGGCATTTTGAGTAAAACCTCCAAGACACCTTTCCAGAAGTTCGTCTTTACTCAAATCTTCGTAAATCGGTTTGATCGCTTATAAGACATCCTCTGGAAGTGGAGTGTAATTATGTCTGAAATTTTCCACTCCTGTTGTGGCCAAAGCTTTTTGATATGGACACCACAAGTTCTCACCGTTCGAGCACTTATCGTGTTGAGGGTTATCGTCTGTTGACTGCTGGTGGTAGAACGTTGCCCAGATTCCATTTTTCATTTCTTCTAGCGAATTACAATTATGCCTTATTGCTGCTCCGTAGTATCGACTCAAATTATCGATGACTTTTCCGGTGAGTTTTCCTTCTTCGCCGAGTACTTTATTTCGCCGTGTTTTACCAGCATTTTCCCCTGTTTTCACAACTTTATCTTCTACAGTATTTTTTACCAGATCACGTAGACGTTTTCCCATTCTTTTCTGCACGTGACCTACACATTCTTTTTTATTTATAGTAAAATTTTCACCGTAAGGTTCAGCTTTCACTAAATTGCCGTAAGTTTTACTGTCAGCGTCTCCGATATAGTTGCTGATCTTTGCATCGTAATCTTCTTCTGAGCGGCGAAACATTTCAATAACAGCGTTAACTTCCATGTTACCTGATGGTCCGGTGTGATCGGCTTGACATTCATTATTTTCAACGTATTCTTCGTGCCACTCTTCAAATTCAGCAGTATTTAATTTTATTTCCCATAATTTGCAAAGCTGACAGTGCAAACTACTTATGAAAATATCAATAACTTTTCCAGACCAATATCCAATCAAGGAAGTGACGCCAAAGAAGGATCTGAAGCCTTGCTTCTGCCACGTGCCGTCGCCAGAAATGGTCAAAGTGTCAGACTCCGAATTTGCACTTGTTTTCTGTTTTTCTTCGTCTGCGGCGGAAAGAAGAAATTTATTCAGCAGTCGTTTTGACGCAGCAGCACATCGATTTCATAAGATCCAAATACGACGGTTTGGATAAAAAATTACTTGCAATGTCCATGAGACCGCAAAATTTATTGCAGCCTGCTAAACCCAAACCTAACGTACGCTTTACGAAAGCAAATCTAGTGTTGATTTCATAGCGTTGACCAGTTTTCTCGCTCGACGGTATAAAGCTTGGATCACAATTGGCACATTTCACTTGAATTTGAAAGCCAAGGCCTTCTTTTTCACAACTTTTGATCTCAACTGAACCATCACACTGAGAATATTTTACTAAACTTACGGTGGTTGAGAAAACAGGCAAAAAATCAATGACTCTGTAATGTTTTTCAACGTCTTCCGGCACACTCGCACTGGTATTCAACTTTATTTTCTTCGATGATGCACTTTTTGTAGTAGCCTCATCCTTATTTGTTTTATTTGGATTAGGCCTTTTTTCGATCTGCATAAATAAGTTCTTGCACTTTTTCGGCTATCTCTCGAAACTTAACATAATCTCGGCATTTTTTTACAGAAAAATTCTTGACAAAATTATAAAATCACAAGCGCACGATCGAACGTACAACGACAAACTGATGCTCGTCTTTCGTTTTAAACAAACAGGATCTTCCGTTTTAAAGACAGGATAATTGACCAGAACAATAGAAGTGAATAAGCTGTATACCTGCTCGACAGCTGCACTGCCTTTCCGATCGCCCGCTGTTGTCAGAGCTATAGTGTTAAAGAACAGGAGACTAACTAGACAATAACTTCAAGAGTTTTGCTCAGATCGACTTAAAATTTTGGGAATATATTCTTGAAATGTTTAAAAATAAGATAAGACAAAAAAATTTTCGAAAGTGCAAACCCTTAACCCCCTAAGGGACAACAACATCACTGTGACGCCTCTTTTTTCGCCCTTATTTCGCGATTTTTTTTCAATAGGAAAAAAAGTTTCAGACCAAAAATTTTTTTTGCATGCTATTTATTGTCTTTTCATCTGCCGAAAACAATTTTTTTTCCCAAAATGGCGGCTTGCGAGCCACCGCCGCGCGCCGTGTTTTCTATTTCCTCTCCCACGGGCAGCAGTGCAAGTGCAATAGATTTGGTCCTGGAACAAAAGTAAAAATTTTTCCGTTAATTATATTAGATTTTGGAGGGAAGTACATAGGATAATTGAAAAATATTAATTTAAAAAAATTGGGACGCTTTTGAAAATAACATTCGATTTTTTGCTTAAAAATCGTATCTAAAATTCGATGTAACTTTAAAAATCATTATGATATCAAAAATATCCTATGTACTTCTCTAGATAATGTGGTTTTATTGATTCTGTAAAAAATTGAAGTAAATCGAATGAAAATTACTCGAGTTATGCTGCTGCCCGTTGTCAAAAAAGTAGTTTCGAGAAAAACGCGTTTGAAGTTTTGGTCCCGAATAATTTATGAATAATCGAACAAAAAAATAATTTACCTTTAATCGGCGATTCCGGCACTATAAAGTTGTCCTTCCAGCATGCTGTCCGATCCCGCCGTCCCCTTCCTAGTGCTCGTGGGGGCCTTCCTTGCGTCCTTAGCGGCCTCCGTCATGGAGCCCTCCGCCAAAGTTATTCTCGCCGGGTCGAATTCCGCGCAAAAATAATAACAATTTTGGCCGATTAGAACCCCCAAGGTCTCCAAAACTTTCATCAGACTTGAGAGGCCGTCGTTGAAACTCAATACTGCGATGTCGGTCGCAATATCGAGTATTATTTTGCCTCCCGACTGAGACTTGGGGGCCATCGACCAAATCACTTTATTCAAGCTTTCATTATTATTTTGCGTGAATCCTCCCAAACACCGTTCGAATAAATCTTCTCTGCTCAAGCTTTCATTTATTGGTGAAATCGCTTCGAAAATTTCTTAAGGCAGATGCGACTTATGGTGATACTCAGATAATTTGTTCTCGAATATCGCGCGCTGCCACGAGCACCACAAATCTCCTCCCTCCGGGCAATCTTCGTGATGCGGCTCCGTGTCTGTGGACATTTTATGGCGAAGTGTTGCCCAAATGGCCTGCTTCATTTTCATGACGGAATCGGAGTTTCGTCGAATGGCCAACCCATAAAATGAACTCAATTCGTCAATGAATGTACCCGTCAGCTTGCTTCTTCCGGATAAACCTTTTTGCTGTTTTACGAGCTCACGGAGGCGCGTTCCCATACGTTTCTGTACGCGGTCGATGCATTCTTTTATTGTTATTTGGAAATCATCGTATGAACAGCTATTAGTAATACCTAGAAAGGTTTTGCTATCGCCATCTCTCACGTAATTTTTGTATCTGATCCCATGCAGCTGTTCAGATCGCTGGAACATTTCCACCACCGCGTCAACTTCCATTTTCCCCAAGGATCCTGTGTGGTTCGCTTGGCACTCTTCGTCGTCGGTAGTTTTCCACTCCCAATACCTCCGCACTATCTTCTTGTTTTTCCCAATATTCACAAGCTTTGCAGTATTTCGATTTCACTTCAACGTCTATAACTTTTCTAGTATTACAGCCGATTAGTGACGATATTCCGAATAGTGAATTGAAACCGCGCTTGCGCCACGATCCATCGGCGGAAACGGTTATTCCGTCGGTTTGTTCATTTTCTGTCGAAATTCTTTGCTCATGCATAGCTGCGTTTTTTCGACTCATCTCACTCACTGCAGTCGTAGCAATTGAAATCGTTTTTACAATTTCATCATATCAATCATAAAAAGATTGGAACACGGGACGCGGCATATCCATAAATGCACAGAATTTTCTTAGGCCATTCAAGCCGCCGCCCAATAATCGCATTGTAAAAACGATTCTTCGATTTATTTCGTACGCATTGTCGATCATCGGGCAAGAATTAATTAATGTTTTTCCACAATTTCTACAGTCGACTTCAATTTTAAAACCGAGTCCCTGCATACTTTTTTCCGCGAATTTTATTTCGGAGTCGCATATTTTACATTTCACCAGCGTCGAAATTGTATTTAAAACGGTAAAAAGATTTAAAAGTCTGTAGCCGAAATAGTGATTTACGGCAACCTCGAAATCACTCGACGATCTCAATTTTTTGCGAACGTGCTCACTTGTTCCGACTTGCCCTCGGAGCTATAGCGATTTGGCGGCTTTCAATTCGATATTTTTTATCTCAGCCTGGTCCTACAGTGGCCCGTCGCTCCCTTCTTGCCGTCAAACACTTTGTTGTCACTCATGTTGAGGAAAAACAAGATTTGTTCAATATCTGAGAATGAAACGAGCGTGTTCGAACCGGTATAAGCGTGCAACCTACTGGCGTCGTTTCAACGGATAAAATTATGCAAACGGTCAGCCGCCTGCCGCGCGGGATACCAAGCCGCGCGGAGCGTGCTCCGCATTGCTCTAGAAAATTCGCTATATCTCGAGAAAAAAAAATGTTAGAGCCTTGGGCCCGACGAATTATTAATTCTAAATACTATATATTTAAGATTCATTAAAATGATTTTCAAAAAATCGATTTTTTTTTTCACAGTGGTGTTGTCCCTTAAACAAATATTGGGTAATACTGACGCAGCATCTAGGATTCGAGGGGTATTTATCCTTGCTGCCGTGCGTATCCCCACCACTTACCGTCTGGCCAATGAGCGTCAAGCTCAACAATCGGGCGAGTCTATAAGAAGTCAGTGACCAAAGTTGATGCTGTCATACTGCGTTTGAAACTTATGGTGTAAGGTTCTATCGACGCTCACAGTGAAAGATATATTAGTTGAACATGGCTCGTACGAAACAGACTGCTCGCAAATCAACTGGAGGAAAAGCTCCTCGGAAGCAATTGGCTACGAAAGCCGCACGTAAAAGTGCACCAGCTACCGGAGGAGTTAAGAAGCCTCATCGCTACAGACCAGGAACCGTCGCTCTGCGTGAGATTCGTCGCTATCAGAAGAGCACGGAGCTGCTCATTCGCAAACTGCCCTTCCAGCGATTGGTTCGCGAGATCGCTCAGGACTTCAAGACGGACCTTCGCTTCCAGAGTTCAGCCGTGATGGCACTTCAAGAAGCTAGCGAGGCTTATCTCGTCGGCCTCTTCGAAGACACCAACTTGTGTGCCATCCACGCCAAGCGTGTCACCATCATGCCAAAGGACATCCAGTTGGCTCGGCGTATTCGTGGAGAACGTGCCTAAATACCGAAGGCATATAAAATAATAACGGTCCTTTTTAGGACCAACACTCTGTTATTTCGAGGAACATGCACATCCGTTTACACTCTGAAAGAGTCTGAAAGGCGTTTCTGAATTTAATCCAACACGCCCACTCACATACGTTTTAGTATACTTTAGCCGACATACTTCTTATTTAATACTTTCTTTATGCAGTAAATATTGTTTTTACTCTTAACATTGCTGAGGCCTGGTTGATTCCATATGAATCAATATTTTAGAGCTAATAACTTGCAAGTTCAATATTTTCCCCAGTATTCATAACTCTAGCAAGAGAACTTGTGTAATAGCGGAAACGTTTATTTTCTTTAATTTAGGAATTTTAAGGTTCATTCACTGATAAATGATCGTCAAGTTCTTTCTCTCTTTTAGTAAAGATTTTACGTTGAGAAACTTTAAATTCTTAGTTTTAGAGCCTCGGTTGGTCTATCATATTCTTTCAGGGAATATTCTTCAATGCATATGTTACCCTTAACTGTTTTTTTTTCTAATCGTAATGTTGCTTTTCTCGAACTCTGAACTGCTCTGTTCTTTCTTTGCTTATTCGTGTATCGGTATTCCTAAATCTGTAGCGCCTTTGAAACGTACGATGTTATAACGTTGAAAATGAATAAAACAATAGTCATGAAATTGCATGATGGTACTTCAAAACTGAACAAGCTCCATCTTTTACAAAATGGAGTATGAGAGGTTATAGAATTCATATAAGGATAGAAAATTAATTACGGAGATATACCGTGAATGGGAAGAGGAATGGCGCAGTTAAAAATGGCCCCAACATGTTGAGACCGAAATATATTTCTTTCTCACTTCCTAACGTCCAGTTCTTCTCACTGCGTAAGTGCGCAATTTTACTGACCTAACAACACCTAACCAATGTAACGCCAAACGCGGGTTACATGAACACTGAAGGAATTCGATTGGAGACAGCCGTTGTTATGATTGGTAGTGCGCGCATGCGCAGTGAGAGGAACTAAACGTTACGAACGAAGAGAGAGATATATCTCTGTCTCAACATAATGGAGCTACTTTCCACTCATTGCTAGAACAGACTATTCCCATTCCAGGAATGCAAATGGTATAAAATTCAAAAGAAACGAACTTATAGATTTTAGTAATAAGCATAATGTAGACATCATGATGCTAAATGAAACTGGAGTTACAATTAAAAATATACTAAGCATTAAAAACTATAATTATGTTAGGAAGGACAGAGATGGGGATACATCAGCAGGTGGACTAACTATTCTGGTGAAAAAAAACTTAGTAGTCACTGAAGCGGAAATAAATATAGTATCGATAGAAGAATTAGCTATCAAATTAGAAGAAAAATATTATGATGGTAGCAGCATATGCTAGACCAATGAGAAATTTGTTAATTAATGATTTGGATAAGATATTCAACTTGGGAAACAAAGTGCTGGTAGTAGGTGATCTAAATGCTAAACACAAAACATGGCATTGCAGCTATAACAACTCTAATGGGTAGTACTGCCTATTATTGGCACCAGATGGACACACTATTTCCATATAATGAAACAAAACGAAGCACAGTAGAGATTGCACTAGTCAAAAACGTACTTAATATAAATAATATTACAAAAAAAGAATGAACTGGACTCGGACCATTTACCTGTGATATTAAGCTTAAGTGATGTAGACATACTAGAAAGGGACAACCAAATGTACCTAAAATACAAAGAGACGTAGACTGGAGTAAATTCAGAGAGATTATTAATCGAAAACTTAGTATAAACTCAAACTTAACTAGCTCTGCGGATATTGACACAGAAATAAGCAGATTAACAAATACAATAAAGGAAACAATGATAACGGTAATACCGAGAAAAGAAATAAATATTAAAAACGTACCACTCCCGATAGAAATAAAAGGGCTCATAAAAGAAATAAATAAGGTGAGAAGAAAGCAACAGCAAGCGGGAAGCAAACATCTAAAAACGGTTAGAAACACGCTGTCTAAGCAAAGAAAAGATAAAATTAGAAGGTTTAATAATGAACAGTGGAACCTTAGGCTGAAAAATTTATCACACAAAGACAATTCTATTTGGAAGGTAACAAAATATCTAAAACCTGAAGGCTCAAAGCAAATTCCGACATTACATGGAGATAGAGGATTCGCGTTTACAGATGAGGACAAAGCGAATGTACTAGGTAGAAACTTTGAAAAGGTACATGAACTTGCAAAATCAATGGTTAGTACAAAAATGGATAATATAGTGGCAAAGGAATTACAACAAATTAGGGAAAAAATTATAGAATCCGCAGATATTAAACTTGCAACTCCAAAAGAAATTACGAAAATTATAGTAAAAGTCAGACCAAAAAAAGCTCCAGGACATGATGGGATTCAAAATATTGTTCTTACAAATCTTCCCAAAAAAGCAATAGTTCAACTTACACATATATTTAACAAATGTTTAAAACTTTCGTATTACCCGAATAGTTGGAAAAATGCAGTCATCTTAGCTTTTCAGAAACCAGGAAAGGACCCCCAAAACTATAGTCCTATAAGCTTGTTAACTTCAATGAGTAAAGTTTCTGAATAAGTCATATTAAATAGATTAGATATACATGAAGAAACAAACAAACAACTTATAAATTATCAATTTGGTTCCCGAAAAGAGCATAGCACAGTACACGAACTTGTAAAGTTGACACATTACATTTCAGAAGGGTTCAACACAAATAAGCACACATCACTTCTTTTAGATATAGAAAATACCGCAAGGTTCCTTTCTAGGACAGCGTCTTTTTCTTTACTATAAAAATGACATTCAAAAAATAGAAAACACGATCATAGCGCTATTTGATGATGATACGACGCTATTCACAGCCTCATGGCAAAAAGATACAGCCATAAATAGATTGCAGATACATTTAAATAAATTATTGAAATATTATAAGAATTGGAGAATAAAAATAAATACAGGAAAAACAGAATTAGTTATATTTAGCAAAAAGAGAGGGAATGTAACAAACACTCTAAATATAAGAAACAAACAAATAAATATTCAAAAACAGGCTAAATATCTAAGATTCATCCTAGATGAAAAGCTAAACTTTAATAAGCAAATAGAGGCAATAAGACAAAAGGTTACCATAGTGACAAAGAAACTGAATAGTATATTGAGAAGAAATAGTATATTAAGTATTAATAATAAGATGTTATTATACAAAATGATTGTCAAACCAATAATACTGTACGCAGCACTAGTTTGGAGCAATACTGCAAAAACAAATGTCAAAAAACTGTAAACTATACAAAGCAAACTACTGCGAGTGATAGCAAATGCTGATTAAAAAATTAAAAATGCTAACTTTCGCAGTAAATTAAAGATTAAAAAACTAGAAGACGAAATATATGCACACACTAAAAGATTCTTTGAATCTGAAATGTCAAAGGTTCCTATACTAGAAAATATATGTGAGCTGGATAAGAAAGATATATTCTACAAAACTAAAACAGCGTATTCTACAAGCTAAAACAGAGCAAATCAGAGTAACAAAACATTGCTAAAAAGTTTTATATTATAGTATTTGTAATTTTATTTTTATTTGTTGTTTAGTATGTAAGGTAAGCTTATAGAAATGATTCAGGTTTTTTCAATTTTCCAAAAAAATCAAATATACTAAATAGAAAAGCAAAGGTAAAAACAGACAAACAGATACAAAACAGAATAAAAATAGAGATAGAGAACCAATCAAAGTAAGGCAGGATCCAGCTAGAATTTTATTGATTATGCAGCAAACTCCTCACCCTCCCCCTTATTTTGGTTTCACTCCCTTTGCACAAAATACCAGCTTATACTTCATCCCGGTATTTCTATATCTATGTGTTGGAATGGTTAGTAACGCCATCTGAATAACATAAGGATGCGTTTCAAAATAGTATACACATATCTTAAGGCATATTCCGTAATTTCAGCCAATGATATCAATTGATTTTGGTCACCAGTCGAAATCAATAGATGCAATTGGCAATTACGGAATATGCCGTTAATAAACATCTTTTTACTATATAGTGATTTGCCTGTAATGTGAATCGGTCCGATTCTTAGGGTTCTGGGATCGATTCACTGAATCATCCAGTGTTTCAGATCTATCTGAAAAATCGACTTTCTTTCCCCAAAGAATTGATTTTTCAATTTATTATTCGATCTCAGATTGGCATGCCTAGTATAAAATGTAACGGTATTAGAAAACTGAGGAGCAGCCAGTGAAAATGAGTATGCAGGTATTTTAAAGCTGCGTGACAGGCAATATGCATCAAATGCCGTTGTTTTCCTACAATGGTAGGGCATCTAAATTTCGTTTAATAAATTTGCCAAATGATGTAAGTCAGGAGATTACAAAAATGATTTTGGTAAGGAATATCTTTTACTAGAGGTTATTGCGCACTTTTCATTAGGTAATTTCAAATGTTTAGATTAGCTCTATTTCTAATTGAAATTGATTATTTTCGAAGTACGTGACAGTGAATGATATTGTTATGATTATACCGACAAATGTTACGTGTCGTGTATTTTCATTTTTTTTTAATTATAAGTTTTTTTTTGGGATAATGGAGATGAAATAGTTTATATTGATGATCCTCTAGTAATCAACTTTACTGTCCCTGATAATTGAAAATCAAATGAACTTACCTGTAAGTGAAGTTCGATTGTAATTATATGAATGGCTCGTTCGAGATAATTACAACGTAGTTTTTTAGAGTAAACGTCTTTAATGATGAAAAGTAACAACTTTTTTTTGTACAAAATTACATAAATTACTCTTTGGGTAGAATTGCCTACGCAAAATTAATGTTATCTTTAATTATCGGTCTGTTATAAAATCTTGCAAATACTTTCGACCTTTGTGTCCACCCGGCTGCGTTTCTTATTAAATTTAAATCTACTCCTCGCTGAAGCGCTGCAGTCGTAGATGCGTGTCTTGTGCTGTGAGCTGT